ACACAGAAGAATTTTGAGTCAGAGATTTTGCTGGTTTTTGCACGCACTCACAAAAAGGTTGTCCACCCCTGCTCTGAACGAACTCAAAAAATGAAAACAAAGGTAGAAAAAAATAATGGGCCCTGAACATTGGTAAGTAGTGGTTACACATTTGTGTATACCAACCCAACTTTTGTAAAATAATGTCTATCAACTTAAGGAGCTTGGTTATAAACTTCTCCTGCAACCTTCCCTCATTACTGACTAGAAAACAGAAGGATGTAAAAGCCATCATAAAAGTAAAGGTGGAGAGTCAGGGTGCTTCCAGCACATCTGAAGTGCGATGTTAAAATAACACACCAGCAGGGTGTAGGAGCCAGCCATCAGCTCTATACAGCTCCTCAGGAAAGGAAGCTATATTTTGCAACATGCTTGTAAAGTTAATCTTTAGGTAATCAAAAAAATGTGACACTGTATTCATTATGCAGTTTAAAACAAGAAAGTGTAAAACATTAAACATGGTTAAGCCTTAAAGAAATAATTATTTAGAACATTTGTGTTACCAAAATGCATTATTCCAGACAATATTATTTAACAATTAAATATTTAAATTTACTACAAGAGACAAATGAACCTATCAAAGTGTGGTTAATTTTTATAAGTATTTCTTTATACACAGAAGTTTAGTACAAACTGTATGTGCAGAATAACAAGATGTTTTTATTAAAACCTGGAGACAAAAAACAAAACAAAAAAAACCTGGAGACAGTCCACATCAGCGTGGACTAACATTTCTACTTCCAGGCTTTTGTTCAAATACCAATTAGTGACATTGGGCATCTGTGGCTATTACCATCAAAATATTTTCAACCTGACAGTCCAAACACAATGCCTCTAAATACCTCTAAAATAATGATACTTGGAAAATACTCTAAAATACACATTTCTTTTCGGAACTTAGAAATCAGGATAAAATGAAGGTTCTCTAATACTGTTCATTTTTTAAAAAAAAAAAAACACATAGATTTTAGAGAAGGAGAGAGACACCCAACCAGGGATCGAACCTGCAATCTTCCAGTATACTGGATGATGCTCCAACTGAGCCACACAGGTCAGGGCATAGTGTTAATTCTTTGGTTGTCTATAATAAAGAGGAAATTTGATGAAATCTTAGCTTGATGGGAAGGTAAAAAATAAATATTTTGCTAACTGTTCTCATGGTAAGAGTTCAGTAGTCCCACCTTATCCACAGGGGATATGTTGCAAAGCCCTCAGTCGATGCCTGAAACCTCAAATTATATCTAACCTTATATATACCATGATTTTTCCTATTCATACATACACTTTACGGCTCCTCTTTGACATTCCAGAACTGCATCACTACTCTTGCGCTTTGGGGCCATTATTAAGCAAAGCAAGGATTACTTGAACACAAGCACTGCATACCTCCATAGTTGATTTGATAACTGACAAAGCTAATAAGCAACTCATGGGCTGGAAACACATACAGAATGGATACGCTGGACAAAGATGATTCACATCCTGGACAGGACCAGGTAGGATGAAGCAGGATGGCACAAGATTTCATCATTCTACTCAAAATGGTTGCAATTTAAAACTTGTGAATCATTTCTTTCTGAAATTACCGATTTAATATTTTCAGACTGCAGTTGACCATGGGTAACCCAAGATAAGAGGGGACTACTTTTTTAAAAGAGCAAACAAAAGTGTTGGTTTCAAGGTCAATGAATATTTGGGTTTTAACACCCTAATTAGTGACTTACACACAATTTCTGAGCTTTAGTTTCCTAATTTGTAAGACTAAGATACTAATTTCCAGGGTTGTTGTAAACATTATAAAAAATAACGCCTAACAAATTTTAAATGTTAACATACTCCAAATACCTTCAATATTTCTGTAGGAATGTGTTCAGTGTGAGCATATCGATAGCAAAAATAAACATTAACACAAACACAGGATTCATGGCCAAACATAACTATTTATTTTTGTAATAAACATTCAGTATCTTCCTTTAAAAAAACCTAGAATTTAAATATTTCTTCCCATCCCATCACATACAAATCTGTAAATACATTATTTACATCTCTCAACTAAAACATATTACAGATTTTCTGACATTCAGTATCCTTTTAAAATAAAAATGACAAAGCAGTTAAACTTTGACCAATAACTACAATTTGAGTAATCTTGGCACAGTTTACAACATAGCGTCGATGTTTCATTTCATATTTTAGATCATTTTTCCCCTCCCAGCTACTTTAATAGAGAGAGAAATTGTCTGTCTCCAGTAGAGCTGAATCCCTGTCTTTACACATCCTCTGAAATACTTGTATAATGTGAATGCTGACCCTATGTTTCCATTAGATGGCACTGACAGTATTATTCTGCTTTTGTCCCCATAAATAATTTCTATTCAGACTTTAACTGTCTCATGTACATTGTATTCTCTCTCAACCTAGATTTCATGACACTGTTTCTAGATAATTTTAAGTAATAATGTATAAGAAAAGTTCAACTAGAACAAAAGTTAAGTGTCCTCCCACATTAGTACCCTCAGCACCCTAGTTATGCATGTACAAAAATAACAAATACAATCTAGTTGCTTTAAAAAACTATTTCCCCTAAAAATAGTTATCTCAGCAGAACAATTTAAGGAGAAAAGTATTCTTAAAATGAAAATGTAATCTATTTTAAAACCTACATAATATTAAGTATTTCAGAAACAAAGTAAAAAGGAAAAGATGTGCAAACCAGTAAGAAACACCCACACATAAAAATATGTGAGAAATTAAATATTAACAAAAATGTTTAATTTTATCACTAATGATCTCAGCTTCAGTGACATATTTAAAGAAAGCTGTCAGCCAAAAAAAATAAGAATGCCTATGTAAGTGCATTTTTCAACACTTCAGCTGAAGCCTACATGTTGACAGCAAGTACCTCAGAAGCACTAACAATGAGGACTTGCACAATCGACCTGTTTGTTTTCCAAGTGGTGCGTTTTGGGGGGATAGGAGATATGGAAAGTCAATAGCAGTAAAGGAAGTAATTTACCTCCAAGGAGAAGGGGATGTGAGCTGGAAAAGGCCAGTGATTCCACTATCTATCTTGGAGAACTGTAATCCAAAGTTATCTATGTGTAGTATTATATGTAGAAAAAGAAATTCACACTAGCAAAATTGAGAATACTCCATCTGTACTATCTTTTGTCACAATTCTGTATCAATTTAGCTACAAGTAGCAGACATGGAGCACAGTTTTATACCTTCAAAATGAATTCTTTCATATGATTAGCTCATTAGGAAAACCCTAAAAATTCAAACTGTCTGCAGTCAGAATTGTTATTATATCTTAAAATTAAACTTTTTCATTCAATCTTGAGAGTTTTCGCTCTAAACATTTATCTCATATACCATTAAACTGGCAGCTGAACAACAGTAATTCCTATGGTGAATCTTCTTAACATTATGACAAAAATCTAATATTGAAATTACTTTAGGAATGATCCTTAAAAAGTAGATGTAGAATAGCATTTCCAAGAATTGACATACTCTTTAATATCCCAGATAAGTTTCTAAGTAAGTAATGTTTTCTCTTGGTATGCAGACTCATTTTCAAATTAGAAATAGACTTCTGGCCCCATATCTTAAATTTATAAATGACATATGAAATGGTTATATAATTTTAAATATTTTATCTGTGATATGTAGGCTTAAAAGTCAGCCTAATTAATATATAAAACTTATTCCAATTTCTTTGTAAAATGTTCTCTAGTCTTTAAATTCAAATTGTTCATCTGTGAAAATGGTTTTTTAAAAAAGGGATGGAGGTAAAGGCTATTGTTTCCTTAGGCTACTTCTATCTTAAATATTGGATCCATGTTTTTCTTACTATACCTTAAATCAAAACTATTTTACAGTAGTCAAGATTGAATTCAAGAATTATCAGGGAAAAGAAAAAAATAGAAAACAAGATAAAGACTTTGATTTTTTTATTATTATACTTAACTATAAGACAATTAAACTAAATTTAAAAAAATAAAACCTATACATCCAAATGATACTGTGTACTTCAAAGTAGTGACATCAGGAAACAATTCCTTTATTATATGATGCTACCTATGCTCAAAACACACTCTTCTGCAAATTTCAGAATCTATGATACATTCTATTGAACTTCCTTCACGGTTTAGTTCCAAAAAAACAGCAAAGCAGAATTGGTTTGGTGAATGAGATAGTCATAATTAAGTTGCCAAAAAGAGGTTTTGGTGCAACTAAAATGATGAAATAGATTATCTTGCATAGTCATACACTGATTCTCAAGGCTTCTTTGAAAGCATTCCAAAAACTTTACACCTTTGCAGCATAGCTGGAATAAGCAGTGCTCCCAAAGGAACCACCCTGAAGATCTACTCTCATTTGGATGTTTAAAGAATAACGTTTATTTTAAAACAAAGCCCTACAACTTAGCAATTGCATCTCACATACTTTACCATTTCAGTGGTTATCAAAACCTCTCTTAGAGAGGGGTAGACAAAGGTATAAAATAAATCTGTCATTTTGCTATTTTCCCATAAGCAAGGAAAATGCTAATACATAAAATGGAGTCTGGTGATTACATGTAAAATATAAATATCCACATCATCTGTATTTTCTAAATAAAAGCGATTGTAGTGCTTTATCTCTGCTGATAAAATAGGCAGTAACTCAGTCTGTGATATGTTATCCACTAAATATGTCATCTCCTACCAAATACATTTTATGCTGATCAGTTAGAATTTACAGATAACGAAGGTAAAAAGCAATAGCAATCTAAAATCTCTCAAGTTAAGGTAAACTGACTTCCAAAGCTTCTACCAGCTAACTAACAAAATGTTCACTGTTTCAGTGCAGTTTAATATAATGGGTTTTTATGGGAAACAGAATAATCAAGTCAGCAAATGAAAGCCAGTAGCACCATCTACTGCTAACTAAAGGATTTTCACACTTTGTTATTCTCTCCACCACCATCATGCCATCATTTAAAGTAATTCCTAAAACTTGCTGCATATCAATATTTAACCAAAGCATTGTGAAAACAATACTATGTTAACTTACTATTTTATATTTTATGCTTTTATCAGCAGATGGGAAAACCAACTTCTGTTTTATACTTCCATATAAAGAAAAGGAGGGAAATCTTTATCTTGGTTATTTATAAACTTAACAAAGAGATCTGGAAAGAATTCAATAGACATTTATAAGCAAGTTCTGCTGCAAAGCCAAGATGTGATCCTTATTTTATAAAGGGTTCATGGGAACTAACAGAATCAAAGCAATTTTTTATTAAATTAGTTATTTCTCACATGCTCTGGTGAATGTTTTCCTACTCATAGCCATATAACACCATGTACAATGCCAGGCCTCTGGGAGAACCTCACTACTTTGTTACCATATAAACACATACATAATTCCATACTTTCCAATAACTCTGTTTACAGGAATACTCAGAGGCAGGCACCTGAGATTCTGGCACAGTGACGACAAACTCTTACATACATACAATGGGAAAGGAGGTCCTACTACTAAACATTCATTGATGGAAACATTTTTCCATTTTTACAGTATATTACTGCATAAGGCTTAAAAGAACAAGAATAATTTTTTACTATACTCTCTACATTTGGCTATTGCAACCTATTTGTTACTAGGTTGATATGAAGACAAATGCAGTATGGAAGACTACTTGAGTAATTATGTGCTTCATTTTCCCAGATAGAACTCAAAATCAGTTGATGCCGAATTTTACTTCTGAATCTACCCATAATGGCTGCTAAAAGATCTGGATATTAAAAGAGTTGTTTTAAGGACATCAGCTAGTTCTCACTGTAATTTTTAACTAAGTATTACCAATGAATGTCCAATATATCTCTGCCAGGCTCTCCTGTTATTTCTATGGTTGGTACTTGAGAATGATGGCTATAAATGAAATGGAGAAAAAGGCAGTTCCTAGTGATGGTAATTATAATGTAATTAAACTGTATCGCGGCTCTACTTGTTAAGAGCAAAACCTAACTGATTTCATTTTAGATTCTTAGTATTTTTAGTCTATACAGTTTCAGAGCAAGATTTCTATTCTACAAGGAAAAGGGTATATATTTCTAACTTAAAAAAAAAAGAGTATATATTTCAAACTGAAGGGATAGCTTTACCGGAAATGAGAAAATTAAAACGAAGTCTAAAAAGAATATATCTCAAGAATAAAAGTAAAGTGAAAATGTTAATATTTATTTTAAAAATCAATTTTCAAAACTTACGGGAATAATTCACTAAAAAGTCAAGGAAACTAAAATGTAAAAGTTAATAATCTCTGAATTAGCACTTTCGTTGTTTACTATCACTGCAAAGAAAAATATTTCCTTTCACAGTGGAAAATCAGCTGTCAGAATGCTTCAAATAGAGCCTGTAATAACCAAAGAATGTACTGTATCATTTAAAATGACAGGCAAACACCAGCTCCATTCACTGAATGGAAGTGCTGGAAAGTGGTCAATGTTCCCAAATAGTCCTTTATTCCTTATTTAATATCTATACCTAAAATTAATAACTTATTTTTAACTTCTCTATGGAAGTTGATTCCTAAAAAGAAGTCTCTAAGACTATGCTTACACGAAATTGATTAAAATCTTCATGCCATTCTATTCAAGGGTTTTAAGACAGGACTTTCTTGAACTTGACTCTCCACAGTTAATTCCATCTTTAACTCCCTACACAAGCGAATCCCCTATAACAGAACACACACTCCTATCAAAGCTTCTTCAAAGTAGGAGGAGATTCTGCAGACTTATGGCTCATTTGGCAATTGCTAAGAAACCTCACAGTTCAGCATCACCTCTGAAGATGGCAAACCTGTACATAAACCTGAATATTCACACCTACAGTGCAGTTAACATGTAGAAAGAAGCCAAAATGCAACAGATATTGCATTTCAACATCCTCAAGTTTCAATATCACAGTAAAGAGATGGAAAAAGACCTGCTTGTGGAACTTTAAGCATCTGTTGAACAGAATTACCATCAATATGAAAAATAATTAAGAAATACTAATTTTTTATGCTCTACATGCACACCTTTACAAATTGTGTTTCTTCGATGTAGTAAAAGCTAGAGATCATCAATTCAGGTAAACTATGGCTTTTATCATAGATATTTTAAAACATGCATCAGTAAGTGCTCCGGGTAATAATCCTATTGTTTCAAGCCCTGTTTGGTTCTATGTGCTTTGCACCTCAGAAGTGAGCCTGCCAAGGCACTTAAAATATAAGTCTTTTGGGGACTTAAAAAATCAGCCACAATTTACACAACGTAGAATCCCATCCATGAGCAGCCCAATCAATAAGCATTCTCTTTCAACCTACAACATTATAAAAAATTCCACAAGTAACCAAAACCAAGTTAAAAAAAATGCCACTAAGACAAAATTTACGCCTATCAAATGTATAGAGAATGGCTGTTGGCTTTCTATAGCAATAGAATATGGTTTCATTTATTCAGAAGAAAAAAGAACACAAATAAGCCCCCCAAATCTAGACAAAAACAACTGAGACAAAAATAAAATACAACGAAATCCAAATACACTCCACAGAACTTCATGGGAACAATTTGCACAGTTCGCATCCCTTATCTGTCCTTTGACGTGAGTTTCTCAATCAGTTCTTGGAGTGGTGCAAGTTCTCTTCTGTCAACCAGGTTAAATTCCTATGCACGATAAAGGCAGAAGAAATAGCAAAAACTTATTATTTACATTTCACTCCGAAGCAGCTTTCCATTAACACTTACTGGAAATTAGCTTTTAAAGTAAATAAAAGTCAAATCTCTTTTTTTAAGTTTCTATTCCCTCACTGTCTTAGACAAATCACTTAACCACTTCTGATATTGTTTTACATATGTAATAATTATAAGATAAATCCTACTTCATAAAATTATTGTGGAGACCAAATGTGATACTGTAAGTTTACCACTTCCAGTAATCCTTGGCACAAAGTAAACACTCAATAACTGGGAATTGCTACTCTTTGTTAAAAGGTATAACCCAGGCACCATTTAGATATACTCTGAGTGGCCAGATTATTATGACCACCTGACGTTTGTAGGCAAATTAGCTATAATTTCGCGCTGAAGTTGCTAGAGGGCCAGACCATTATAAATAGGGAAGCAGTTTGTTTACCTCAACAGTAGAAGTGATTTTTTTTCTGAAGATAGGGGTAAACAACGCGATTTAATAGCCTTTGAACGTGGGATATATTTGAACGTGAGTGGCCAGATTATTATGACCACCCCACCAGTACTTCGTTGGGCCACCTTTTGCCTCCAATACTGCGATGATTCTTCTTGGCATTGACTCCACGAGATGTTGAAAGGCGATGCGAGGAATCTGACACCATGCCTGATGAATAGCACTGTCCAGCTCTGTGAGATTTGATGGCTGTGGAACCAGCTGCCTGATGGCTCTTTTAATTTCGTCCCACAAATGCTCAACTGGATTGAGATCTGGTGATTATGGGGGGCACCTAAGCAAGGTAAAGTCGCCCTCAAGTTCTTGCAACCACTCCTGCACAATACGAGCACCGTGGCATGGCGCATTGTCTTGTTGGAAGAAGCCATCTCCATTGGGATACGCCATCAACGTGATAGGATGAACTTGATCAGCAATGATACTTAGGTATGTTGTGCACAGGCCTTTGGCTTCCATATCCCATACGATGCAGTGTATGGCTAATTTGCCTACAAACGTCAGGTGGTCATAATAATCTGGCCACTCACGTTCAAATATATCCCACACTCAAAGGCTGTTAAATCGCGTTGTTTACCCATATCTTCAGAAAAAAAGTCACATCTACTGTCATGGTAAACAACCTGCTTCCCTATTTATAATGGTCTGGCCCTCTAACAACTTCAGCGCGAAATTATGGCTAATTTGCCTATAAACGTCAGGTGGTCATAATAATCTGGCCACTCAGTTTAGTCAACCAAGTAGGGACCAAAATATCTAGCATCTCCAGCAAGTTTCAGACTAAAATAGTTTATGTTATAAACTACCATATCCATAAGCTATCATGAGATGTGTCATTCTGAAGTAAAACTCTGAATAGATTTCCCCTGAACTATATTAAATAAGCTGTCTATACTTCTGATCTTCTGCCAGGGTGGGGCATTCTGCACTCCTAATTTCATTTATTTATTAACATCCATCACGTGCCAAGCACTGCAGTATATACAGGGGAAAAGCATTAGGGGGCATTTAACTGCAAGCCTATCACTACCAGTAAGATCTGTGGGGTCTGAACCAAGAACACAAATAGAAAGATATATATATATTGCATGACTAAATAAATTTTACATTAAGCTAATATATTGTTAAATAAAACATGTTCTGTTCTTCCACCTTGACAAAATATACCTTCATAGTGACCAGGAGAGCAGATTCAAATTTAGAATTCTCAAGACTCCTCAGAATTCTGCACTGGAAAGTAGAGCCAGCCCCTGACCCTCAGCAAAACTTGCTGATCTCCCAACCACCAGCTCCATCCTGCTCTTCAAAGGGCTTCACATGCATGAGTGTGGACACCCTGTCTGTTTATACAAGCAATGCCACACACCCTCATCAACAGCTGTCAACTGGCTATCCCTTAGGTCTAGAGCAGCAGTTCTCAACCTGTGGGTCACGACCATCGGAAAACACATACAGCATACCAGATATTTACATTACGATTCATAACAGTAGCAAAATTACAGTTATGAAGTAGCAACAGAAATAATTTTATGGTTGGTGGCCACCACAACATGAGGAACTGTATTAAAGGGTCGCGGCATTAGGAAGGTTGAGAACCACTGGTCTAGAGAGATACAAATCAGGGATAAGACCTTTCCTCAAAAGAACAGACCCAAGGAAGAGATCTCTGCAAACCTTGGAAATACACTTGGGACAGGAAATTCTGAGGTAGAAGTACACACCATAAGGAATCTGGGTAGGTATGTTGCTTGCCCTGTGGATTCCTCACTCTGTGGGGAGAAGTACAACTGGAGAAGGGCCAGAGTAGGATTTTCTAAATTGTGAAGCCAGGGGCTTACTCCTTCAAGGGCTGATACTATATAATGGACCCACCTTTAAGCAGGTCACAGCGTCCTAAGATGTAAACAGATTCAGATATAGTAAATGCCATGAATCTATCCCCTACTATTTGCTAAGAGTTGGGAGATATGGTATACTTTGATATCATACAGTAAAGTAAAAACTAACTCTTCTGGTGGAGGAATATCCTTGCCTAAACCACTAAAACCTGAACTTTGGCAATCATGTCTGTCTAAACCAAAGCACAGATGCAAACTTTAGGATAACATGTTCTTTGTTTCTCTGGGTATCTGTAGATGGAATACCAGAGTGAGGTAATAGCTCAGAGCAACTGTTTAGGTATGTTACTGTCTCCTAAGATGTGTTTTGGTAAAACTGAGACACAAAATGTGTGCCTTCAGTGTGAAGAGTGTGTACAGAGGGAAAACAGACATTTTTCTTTAGTGGAGATGGATCACAGGGAAGGCATTTTAAGTATATATACCCAAAGATATACAAAAACAACACCGATCCAAGCCTTAGACTTCTCCTGCCTACCATAAACCCCTCTCAATTTCCACCAAAGAAAGGCTGGTCAGCTTATCTTTTCCAACTATTTTTCACTCCTGGCTGTTAGTTCTCCAACTGTGATAGCAGGGTGAGACTATCTTCACTCCTCCTAATCTCATCTCTAAGGCCAGTTCTCTGAGAACTAAAAAGAGAAGGAAAAGGGGGTCAACAAAGGAGTCAGATCAAAGACTAATAGACCTCTTTGGAATAGTAACACAGATTTCTCCCTTTGGACACAATGGACAGTACCTAACTTAAAAATTATTCAGAATACTTAAAAATAAAAAAGGAAAAAAGGTGTGATATTCAAAGCTCATTTCTAGGACAGAGGATGCTAAAAAAGTTCCAAAGTAGACTGGATTTGAGGGTTAAGAGGAGTAGGAGGAATGCTAAAAAGTTCAAGAGATCAAGTTCATCAATAGATCTGCCAAACTAGCCAGGTTCCTTACATGGCCCCTCCAGAGTAGGCCATTAACTGAAGCAAATCCAAGGAAGAATTCTCAGAGCCATTTTATTTAGACTTGCATGACTTGCATGTGGCTGCTTAGAGATAAATGGAATTCAGAAACAAAAGGCCAGTTCTTATCATCATGGCAAGTATAGAAGAGGAAGACTAGAGAAATAGGGCAAATTTTTATCCTTACAGTATGAATGCAATATTCACCTAAGAACTCTGTAGATAACTAATTTACTAAACAAAAAAGGTCTCCTAATCCAACTTACCTGGACAAAAAAGATAAAGTGCTTGAAAGATGTATTCAGATGCGCTTCCTCCTGAAGCTGGATCACAGGGTCAAAATGCTGATGATAAATGTGAGCATAAACCCTGAAGAGGCGTTTGAGTATAGTTTTTGCCACAGACATGAAGTTCTTCGGGAATGGGACACCTAATAAATAAACAACCCCATCTATTAACAAGGGACAGGAACAAGGCAATATGAGTTTGTTAACAAATGGCAACATAAATTGCCAAAACAAGGCTTAAAAGAAGAAGGATTTATGAATTACTACTTAATACACCTACTGTACTTTTCACAAGTCTTTAACATATCATGAATGAAAATAAATTTCAAAGCTTCTATGGAACAAGAACTAATTTTCAGTATAGCCCTTTAGGCCTCCAACACTTTACTAAAATGAAACAAATGAATGCCTAAGATGGTAATGGAGCTAAAACTCACACTGAGATCCTCAGATTTTGTAAAATCATTTCTTTATACAAATATATGCTAGACACAAATAATATATTAATCATGTTCATTTTTGTTTAAAATGCTTGCAATATATTTTTAAAATTTTTTCTATGGGAATTATTTCATTACTACTCTAGGTCTACATTTATCCTGAAAAACAACTGCAATCTCTGCTCAATTTGGTTCTTTGCTATGAATTAAAGCACTTTTGCAGCATTAAACAAATACAAAACTAGAATAATACAAAATTCCATATACTTTGTTACTCTTGCTAAATAATCTAGACTGGCAAAACACAAGCCAAACACTGGTACTACTGGGTTCAATGTCATCATTTTACCTACAACTCATCCTATATATCTTCTATCTACACTAATAAAAGAGAAACATGGTAATTGGCGTATGACCGCTACCCTTCCCATTGGCTAATCAGCGAGATATGCAAATTAACTAACAGCCAAGATGGCCGCCGGCAGCCAGACAGCTTGAAACTAACATGAGGCTTGCTTGCCTCAGTGACGGAGGAAACAAATGTTCCCCGCCTGCGGCTTGCTGGCCTCTGAGCTTGCAG